AAAGATAGATTAATTTTGCAATCTTAGTTTTTTTTTTTCTTTTTTGTCCACTCTTATGGGATGCTTTGATGAAGTGGTCCTTGGGAAGCAAGCAGTGTATTATTCTTATTTTGTTGAGGGGAATCTGAAGTTATAACAGCTACTAAGGATGTGAGAACATATGGCTTTATAGAACAATTTGACTATATCTCAGCTGTTCTGTCTGTCCTACATACATATGTCTGCCCACAAATATACATACTTGTACTTCTCTACGATCCCTTAGACTTCTCTTATTCGTTTTACATGGTGCAGGAAATTCTTAGATTACTATTAGAGCATAGCTAAACAATGCCTGCCTTTATGCTATTACAGTAATCAACAGTATACCTGTACACAAGAATGTCACTTGGGTAATTGTTAATTGACGGAACTCCCCAATTATCCAATAACAACAACAGTCTGTTTAAGAGCAAGAATCATTTTTGCATTCCAGTTTGCCCAAACCAATTACTGTTGGATGATTTGAAAAAGACTGAAAAAGAAGATTATTTCAGGAGCATCATTAAAGCACAAGTTTTTGAGATGTGGCCTGGGACACTCCAAATATTCATGGACTGCTATGAAACTCTGAAAGTGGAGAAGAAATTTTTTGGTGATTCTATTTGATTTTTGTGTGGCAGGAAATTTCATTAGTAGTTGTCTTGTCCTCAAACAATAGCAGAAACTGAATTTTTTAATGCTATAAAAATTTATACTTTCTTCTGGCAATCCAATATCCACACATTCCTGGTAACCTCATTATTCTGTAATCTACCAGTTGGATGTACATTTTTCCAGTTCTTGCTCTATGATTTTATAATTGCATACAGACATATTCAATGCTAGATACATTTGTATTTATATCCATATAAAAATACTTTCCACAAAACTGAGTCTTTGGTTTCATATAAATATAATACTTTGACTTTTGTCATGTTGTCAATATTATTCAAACATTTCTTTTTAACTCTGTGTTTTAGAGATGTTTTGTAAATCCCTAAGTCCTTATCAGAAGTCAGAATTCAGAATTGTTATGCTTCCTTTAAAATACTAAAATTCACTAGAGATTGTATTTACAGTTTTGCCTATCTCCCAAATGACAGTATAATATTATTCTTGTGCTGTTTGTTTCCAGTTTTAATATTGTAGGAAAAGGTTAGTGATTTTTGATAGCTTTGAAGTCTTTAGATTGGTTTGCACAAGAAAAAAATGCACCTTTGAATGTTAAAACTTTCACAAAAGAACTGGCTGGATTTAATATAATTCTGAGAATTCATTTGACTACGATTTCAGTTACTGTAAGCATGTTCATACTGAACTGCTTTTATTTTAATTTTAGAACAATATTGGTAACGTGTGTGTGTGTGTGTGTGTGTGACATGAAATCATCTCAGCTAGTAGAATAATTGAAATGTTATAGGATTTTAGATATTACCATTACAAACATCCGTCATAAACCCTCCTCTTTCTTCTCTTTCTTGCTGAGTGTGATGGCGCACACCTGTCACCTCAGCACTTGGGAAATGGGGACAAAGAGGATCAGCTAAAGGTCCTCATGTACTACACAGTGAGTTTGAGGTCAGCCTGGACTACTTAAGATACATGTCAAAACCAAATAACAGTGGAAAATATTTTAAATTAATTTTTTTAGCTGTTCCTTTTTTGTTGTTGGTGGTGTTGATGTCTAGTAGATTTCCTTTGTACTCAGTGTATGTATACTAAGCTATAGCATTTAATCAATCAATGAAATATAGTCAATTCTAATTTTTATTTCTGTGTAGTCAAAAATTATTTTTGTGTGGTTATGTTCACAACTTCCAAAAAATGAGTCCAAAATGAGGACAAATGTTTCCAGATTTCATTACATTAAATAAACTTTCCTTCACAGAGTTTTAAATGCTTTCTCTTGAATTAATTATTTTTATTTTATGTGTATGAGTGTGATGTTTGCATGTATGTGAGTACACAAATGTAATTCGATGCCCTCAAAGGACACAAGAGGACATCAGATCTCTGGGCCTGTCATTTCAGATAATTGTTAGGCATCATGGGGGTGCTGGGAACTGAGCCTGGGTCTTCTGCAAGGACAGCCAGTACTCTTAACCACTGAGCCTTCACATATTTTTTAAATGTCATTCTGTTATTAATGCAGGAAATAATTCGTTAAATACATTTATTGTGACAAGTAGATCTCCAAGTATTTGAGTCAACAATGATTCTTGTTCTCTGGAAAGCCCTGATTAGGAAATAGAAACACTGAAGAGCTAGGTGATGTGGTGTAAAAATGTTATTAAACTTGCGAAGTTTTGCGACTCCTGTATCTCATAGGGATCTTTTGCTTTGAACATGCAGGTCTTTCATCACCAGCAAATGTCATTTTATAGCCCTCAATATTTACTGACAGTTGGGAACATATATAACATACATAAATATTTTGTCATCATTTTGAAAATGATTTTCCTTGTTTTTTTAATCTTGACAGGATTACTGATGAGAAAATACGATATCAAACTCACTTTAATTCTCTCATGATCAATATTTTCTGCTTCCTTTATTCCCTCTTAGAATTGTTGAATTTAAACATTTAGGTTTTAAGGCTGTTATTATTTTTTTCTTGTTTGGTGTTTAATAAATTACTTTGTCAACTTTAATTTTTAGCTCTAGGTAATTTAAACATCATTTGTGTTAACATATATTTTTGTACATATTATCATCTCTCTAAAAGTGCCTTGCTTTGAGTGCTGGAAATTTGGAATTCAATCTCTGTGTTACACAATCTTTCAATTTTACTTTTTGTTGTTTTTTACTGCTTTTTAAAAAAATTTCATATTTTTTTATTTTTTAGAAGAAGCATTTCATAACAGCTTTAACATAATAACATTTTCCAGAGCAAAGATGTATCTCTTTCAAAAGTGTCTATAAAATTTTTTAGGTTCACAGCTGAATTAATACAGTTATACAGTACTGAACTCAGTATAAACCCTGAAAGACATAAATTTCAATGAGTTTTTAACCTTTAAAAAAGATCTCCATTTCATTTTAAAATACACTGTTTCTTACAGAAAGATGCATTGTTTTGCTAATAACACTTAGATGTTGGCGCATGTGTCTCTAATCTGTATGTCTCTGATTATTACTAGTCATAGTCAGTTGCACTCGGATCCTTGGCAACTGTGTATGGATATAAAGTCATCGGATAGATTTCAATGGTAATGTTTATCACCTGTACTACTTAATATGATGTAAATATTTATCCTTCCTCCTCAAATATAACTCATTTTTAAAATTTGTTGATTTTTTTTTTTTTTGGTGTACATCACACACAGCATCCCAAACAATCTTATTCATCTATATACCCACTTCACAGATGGCACCCTCCCATAGCCCTCCTCACACACACACTAGAGCCCTTTTACTCTGTTTTCCCTGCTACGGTTTGCTGTCTTCTTGGCACCCCAGCCATTTCCCAGTACTTGTCCATCCCGTGAATCTAGTCAGCTTATCTAGAAGTCTTTGTTTTAAGAAGGTCAGCTCTTGCTCATCTAGCAGAAATCAGTTGTCAATAGTCCTTTAGGTAAGCTTGGGGTCTGCTGTTTATTTTCCCAGTTTTATGCTGGGTTACCGTCTGGGAGTCTCTTAGGCCACCCTGGCCAAAAACTCAAAAGAAGGTATCTCCCATCTGTATTGTTTCTTGTTATGTAGCCTTTAGATAAACATATGGATGCTTAAAAAATTATATTGGCCTCTTCAATCCTTGGTTATACTTTCCTTTTTGGGTGTTTAAGGCCATATGATTGGCCCAGATAAACCAATTTATTTTTACTGAAGGCCGTTTGAGAATCTGTTCCTCAGGGGTCACATGGGCTTGGGAGGAGCCCCTGGCTCCTTTCTTTTACCAGTTCCATCTATGTGAAGACAAGTCAAAGGTCTTTGCTTGGAAGCACGGAATAAATGTTTCCTTTGTGTTGACCCTCCTCTTTGTAGACTGGACACTGGTTACAAGTACATCTTGTGGGGGTCTCCACAGCCTCCTTGATCAAGAGGACAGGTGACCCACCACAATTACAGGATATTTTGAGAGATGCTCATAGTCCCCTGGAACTAGTCGACCTAGGAGGGCAAGGAGAAAAAGCTTTCCTTTATGTCCCTCTGACAAAATTAGGACAGGCCTCAAAGTATGTCTGTTAAACATCCGAGAAGGTTAGTTCCACTAGTCTAGTCTGGTACTTTTAATTACTATGTCCCATGTAGATAAAGCTTGGGCAAAGGCCAATAGTTCTCAGATAAACCTTGCCTAGACATATATTTCTTCATTTGGTATGTATAATTTGTCAGTAGGTTGTTGGACTAACATGGTTCCCTCTGGTGTTTAAAACTAGCTATGCATTATTTATCGCTCATATTGTCTAACCCCTCCATCATGATTTTATCAATTAAGGTGCCCCCATTTTTCTGATTTCTTCCTTAATAGTACCTTTCTCCTATGGTCCTATCTCCCTTCAGCTCCTTCTCTCCCTTTATCCCCTAGGTTCCTTGTATACCCTTCCCTCTCCCCTTCCTTAAACTAACCCAATTTTTATCCACATCCCCCTTATTAACACCCGTTTCCTATTGTTCTTCTCTTTCAGATTCTTTTCCTTTACATCCCTGTTTCACTTCCATTGTCCTGGTTCCTGTAGTTATGTCTGGATAATTCTCACTTATCATGATTTGGTGCTAGGATCCACATATGAGGGAGAACATATCTCGATTGTTTTTTCTGAGTCTGTGTTACTTCAATTAGTATAACAATTTCTAGTTCCATCCTTTTACCTGCAAATTTCATGATTTCATCTTTCCTCACTGCTGAGTAAAACTCCATTGTATAAATTAACCACATTTTCATTATCCCCTTCTCAGTTGAGGGACACATAGGTTACTTCCATCTCTTAGCTATTGTGAAAAGAGCAGCAACAAACATGGATGTACAAGTGTACTGCAATAGGATGAGTTCTTTGGGCATATGCCAAGGAGTGGTATAAGTGGGTCAAATAGAAAATTTATTTGTAGTTTTTAAGAGTTCTCCACACTGATTTCCACAGGGATTGAATAATTTTGCCACCCCACCAGCAGTGGATGAGCTTGCCCCTTTTCCCACATCCTCTCCAACATTTGGTATCATTTGTTCTCTTGACCTTAGCCAAAAGATGGGTTTAGATGAAATCTTAAAGTGAATTAATTTGAATTTCCCTAATTACTAGTGATGTTGAATACCTTTTAAGATGTTTCTTAGCCATCTTTATCTCTTCTTTTGAGAACTCTCTGTTCAGCTCCTTAGCCCATTTTTAAATTGGGTCATTCCTTTCTCGATTCTTTGTTTTTTTGAGTTCATTATATATTCTGGATGTTAAACCTCTGTCAGATGTGTTGCTGGTGAGGATTTTCTCCCATTCTGTGGATTTTCTCTTCACTCCCTTGGTTGCTTCTTTTGATGTACAGAAGCTTTTTAGTTTAATGAGGTCACATTTGAGGTCCCATTTGTTGATTCTTGACCTTGTTTATTCAGACAGTTGATGTCTGGTTTAGAAAATCCTTTCCTATATCTATATCTTGTAGGTTTTTAGAAATGTTTTCTTCTAACAATTTCTGAATTTCAGGCTTTACATTGAGGTCTTTGATCCATTTGGAATTGAACCTTGTGCATGGTGAAAGATAGGGGTTCGGTTTCATTCTTCTACAGGTAGAGATGCAGTTTTGCCAGCAACATTTCCTGAACATGCTGTCTTTCCTCAGGTGAATGTTATTGGCCTCTTTGTCAAATATCAGGTGGCTGAAATTGCATGTACTCATATTTGAGTCTTCAATTTTGTTCCATTGATCTATGTGTCTGTTTCTTGTGACAGTACCATTTTGTTTTTATGACTATAGCTCTGTAATACAGTTTAAAATCTGGTATAGTAATCCTCCTGTCATTGCTCTTAGTGCTCAGGGTTGCTTTGGCTATCTGAGGTCTTTTGTGCTTCCATATGAATCTTAGTATGTTTTTTTTCCAATTCTGTGAAAAATGTCATGGGGATTTTGATTGGCATTGCATTGAATCTATAAATGGCTTTTGGTAGGATGGCCATTTTCACAATATTAATTCTTCCAATCCATGAGCATGGGAGGTCCTTCCATCTTCTGAAATCTTCCTCAATCTCCTTCTTTAAAGATCTAAAATTTTCATTGTAGATCTCTTTAATGTCTTTGGTCAGGTTTATTCCACGATATTTTACTTTTTCTGCAGCTATTGTGAAGGGGAGTGTTTCCATGTGCTCTTTCTCTGTTTGTTATTGGTATATAGAAAGGCTACAGACTTTTGTAGAATAATTTTGTAACCTGCCACTTTACTGACCGTGTTAATAATTTCCAGGAGTTTTCTGGTGGAATTTTTAGTGTCTCTTAGATATCATATCAGCTGCAAAAACTGATAATT